ACATTGCATAACATCGCATAGCGAAGCATAGCTTAGCTCACATTAGCTTAACTTAGCGCAGCATAGCGCAGCGCATCATTAACACAGCATAACATAGCATAGCATAGCATAGCATAGCCAAGCATAGCATAGCATAGCATGCAAAGCAAACACAAAACCAATGCGACAGTGTAGAAGTTGATGTTGATGTAGATGTAGATGCATGTGTAGATGTTAATGTAGCTGTCGGTGTAGATGTAGATGTTGCTTTCTTAGATGCTCCAACTCCTAGGTAGGGTCGCACTGGGATAAGTGTTTGTTATTCGACATGTCTCTCTCTCTCTCTCTCCGTCTCTCTCTCTCTCTCTCCGCTCCTCCTGGGCCCCCCCTTTGGGCGTTCATTCATGAAGGCGATACATACATGGGGGGGGGGGGGGAGAAACGTTCGGGCAGCTTCTGTGCTCCCTCTGGCGCTGGGAGGCGCCCATGTATCGAGGAATGGGCCCGGCAGAGGGGCCGGAACCAGCAGCACGCCGCAGATTTCGCAACCTCCCCTGTCCCTGCCCTGCCATTCGGGGGCGCGCAACCATGGACTAGCGATCCATGGATTTGGCGCGCGGTCGACAAATCCATGGATCGGGGGAGGTGCCCTCCCCGCCCTTTCCAAACTCGCTCGGCGGCGGAAATCCGCGATCTCCCGTGGAAACGGGGCCCGTCGCTAATCAACGCCTGAGCCCTTCCGTCAGGCCCGAATTGCGCAACGCCCGACCCCCGTCGCCGTCGCGCTCCCCGCAGCGCGCGGCGGCGAGGCTGAGGCCTGGCGGCTCCCGCGGGCAGCGGCGACCTGCCGCGGCGAGGCGACGGCCTGGCGGCTTCCGCGGGCGGCGGCGACCTGCTGGGCTCGGCAGCGACCTCAGCCAGGCGGCCCCCTCTCCAGGCAGTGCCAAGGGTGATGAGCAATGGTGATGAGGTCCCACAACCATTCGAGAGCGAGCCCAAGTTGACAGGCCCGAAACGTTAGGGAGAAGGGGGTCTGTTCAGCAGATGTATCAAGCCAGACCGCCCAGAATTATTATCCCTGACACTGTATTGCATTGAGAGTCTGACTGTTTCTGCACATGAGCTCAACCACCAACGCCCCTGCAAAACGGCACCCATGGGGTGTACCATGTCTGGACTCCGTTGACGTCCCGCTCCAGCGCGGTACGGTGAAGAATCAAATCGGCTCTGAGAGCCGAAAAACGCGCTCCACATCAGCCGCATCGGCGATGCATCGGCGATGCAGCGAGTTCCTTCGATCCCGTCTACTCCGGCCCCATCTGGGAGGCCTAGACCCAGACCCCAGCGACGGCATTTGCTCATGCCGTCGACCCCCAGAGGTCTGGACCCCTTCCGTATGGGACCGGCTTTTCACCCCGGATCGTTCCTCGACGGTCGGTCCCGAGGCCGCGTATTCTGAGTACCTCAGTTAGTTTTGGGGCGGCCAGTGCCTCGGGAGGGGGCCCTGCAGTCAGGGGAGGGGGGGGGGCACTGCATGTGGCAGTCCAGGGTCCGGTTCTGGGGGTCCTTGTAATTAGTCCGGAGGAGGGGTAGTCCAGGGGGGGGGAGGGGGGGGGAGGAGGAGAGGGGGAGGGGGGGGAGGAAGGAGGGAGGAGGGAGAGGGAGAGGGGGGAGGGGAGGAGGGAGGACGGAGCTTCGTTCCTTATTTTGGGTTCCTTAGGTCAACGCCCCGACAGTAGTGGAACGCGCTTGCCTACAGAAGACCTTCACCTCACTCCCCCGGGGCGCGCTGCCGATCCAACAACGTCAACCCACACTTCGCTCCCTTCCTGTCTCAGGAGGGAAAAAACACACAGACACCATTAATCGTCGATTCCCCAGAAAATATGGCAAAATATTGGGAGTGGGAGGGGGGGGGGAGCCTTGGAGCCCTCGTGGCCCGCGGGGGGGGGGGGGTCCTTGTAGTCCGGGGGGGCTCCCTGCAGTCCGGGGGGCGCCCGGACCCCTCGTACCAGGTACTCCGGGGGGAGCCCCTGCAGCCCGAGGGAGCCCAAAAAACTGCTGGGGCAGACCCAGGGCATGGCGGCCCCCGGAGCCCGAAAATAGCGGTGCACCTCCCGTCGTGCTTTGGCTCACGACCCCCAGGGGGGGTGCGGGACAGTTCCGGAATCCAACCTCCTCCTGGACTTCTCCTCCGTGCCTCGGCTGCTTTTGCGCTGGGGGAAAAAATGCACTCCTCCTCCGTCCCCCGACGGCGCCCCCGGAGCCCGAAAATAGCGATGCACCTCCCGTCGTGATTTGGCTCACGACCCCCAGGGGGGGTGCGGGACAGTTCCCGAATCCCACCTCCTTCTGGATCGGGGATGGACAGACCTACCTCCCTTTCGTAAAACGTGATCTAGTGAGAACGACCTGAGGCCCAAACCTGGCGGGCGCAAGCCTGGAAAATATTGGCCGCGGCGCCCTCTCGAGAACCGAAAACGGACAATTCACTAATCGACGTGTCACTGTTGGGGGTTCTGTCCGCCCCCGACTGGACGTCTCCTCCGTTCCTCGGCTGCTTGTTGCGCTGGGGGAGAAAAAATGGGCTCCGCCTCCGTCCCCCGACGGCGCCCCCGGCTGGCCGGCCCTCCCCCTCGGCCGCGGCGCGCCTGCGGGGCCCCCGCCGACAGCGAGGGCACCACCGCGGCGCCGGCCAGCTGCACCGGCGCGGTCGCCTCGCGGCGAGGCGGCGCCGCGCCGCGTCGACGCGGGAGCCCCGCCCCAAAGCCTCCTCGCGTCGTTTGGCGGCCAAGCCTCGGAGGGGGAAGTGAAAAGAGGCGGGCCTTCGGGGATGGACAAAAATCCCTTTAGCAAAACGTAGTTTAGTCAAAACGACCTCGGGCCCAAAAGGGCGGGCGCAAACCTGGAAAATTACGGCCGCGGCGCCCCCTCGAGAACCGAAAACGGGCAATTCACTACTCGACGTGTCTGGGTGGGGGTTCTGTCCACCACCCCCGAGGCCTTCTCAGAAGGCTCGGGAATCCTCCAACCTTCAATGAAGTTTAAAAACACCCTCCCAAAGGCCAGGGGCCGTCTGAGAGGCACCGCCGCCACACTCTGAGAAATGGCCTCCCCTTCTTACTTCCCCCCTTCGATCGCCGCCGATTCATGGAGAACATGCAGGCCCTGAGATCCCGGCGCTGCTTGGGAGGCGAAAAGGTACCGATACGGATGCTCCCCGGGCCTCTCCCGAGGTGCGCTCTGGCCAGGACTTCCAGGCGAATCTGGCGGTGGCGACTGGGGCCTCCCGGGAGGCCCCAAGAGGAGAAAACGAAGGATGGGCAGCGGTATGGGGACGCTTTCCTCCTCCAAGCGCGACGATGGCCTCCCGGGAGGGCGAAAGGGAGGAACACCCAAAACCACGTTAACGACGATGTTGGGCCACAGCGATGTTGGGAATATGGTTTGCGCGACGCCGAACTTGCGCAGAACCGGTTGTAGAAAACCACGAACAACGCTTTATACCGAAACCTGCACCGCCGTTGTCTACATCGCCGTTAGCGCATATGCGGAACATGGGCGAAGGGTAGGAGTATACAGTCAACCCGTATAGTAAGGATGCGCGATAAGAATACACATGGCCTTGGACGCCCATTTCGAAGCTGCTCGAGCGGGGCGCAGCCAACGAAAGTGGCCAAGGATGCACCGAGGAGGCAAGGATGCGAGAGCATCCTTGGGGAAGGCTACAGATCCGACCTGTGCGGGTTGACTGTAGGCACGTTATTTTTTCATCCTCCGCGTTGTAATTCTCTCACGCCGCGCGTTGTCCGCCAAGCATCCAGAAACCTTCTAGATGGGATCGGAGAAAATGAGGTCGAAGGATCGCGCCGCACCGCCAATGCATCGCCGATGCGTCGGCGTTGCATCGGCGATGCATCGGCGACGCATCAGCGACGTCGGCGCGGAGAAAATCGGGTTCCGCATCGAGCCGCATCCGCGATGCACCGGCGATGCAGCGCGACCCACCAACCCCGCCCACTCGGACCCCGTCCAGGAGGCCTCGAGCTGTGTATGTAGGTTAACGGCCGAAGAGTCGAACCTACAGTGCTCCCCGCAAGTAGAGGTAGGAAAGGAAGAGGGTCGCGAGTCCTTTTCCAGTGCGCTGCGACTGGGGCAGCGCGATGTGTTATACCACTACCGCAGCAGAGACGTCAGCGGCAGATAAGGATACAATGGGGAGATGAGCGGACTTCACACACACACACATACACACACATACACACACATATGAGCATCGGGCCACCAGGGGCCATCGCGGACCGATGCGGCTCGCACCCGGAAGCCCCGCGCCCTTGCACAGGATGCCGCAGCGTCCGCAGGTCTGGGCCTGGTGCCCCGACGAGAGCGAGGCAGCCGGTTTCGTCGATGCGTGTGCCTCTGGAGGCCACCTCCTCCCCTGCCTCCCTCCCCCTCCTCCTCCGCCTCCTCCTCTTCTTCTTCTGCTTCTGCTTATATTTCTTGTTTTTTCCTCCTCCTCCTCCTCTTCCTCCTCCTCCTCTTCCTCCTTCTCCTCCTCCTCCTCCACCTGCTCCTGCTCCTCCTCCTCCTCCTCCTTTTCTTCTGCTTCTGCTTATTTTTCTTCTTCTTCCTCCTCCTCCTCCTCCTCCTCCCTCCTCCCTCC